AAGTATAACTAAATATTTATAACAATAATATTTTGCATTTATTATTTATATTCTAATCATTATATATACTATGTATTGTAGTTATCTAAACCCGCCCAGGAGAGAAAAGAAAATGAACATAAAGAATTTATTTTACGTATGTCTCAGTATTCACCTGACTAATTAGTTTTTTCTGATGAATCAGGGAGAACTTTATCATGCTGGTATGGATGAAATATTAGTGGACATTGTGCAAGAAAAGCTACAATTTTTGTTAGAGGACAGAGATTTACAATTGAGGGTGCATTGTGTGTAAATGGCCTATTAGCATATGGCATTCAAGTAGGATCGATGAAATCTGATGATTATGAATATTTTATTGAAAATATTTTTGTATGTTCTTTTTAACAAATTTTCATGCTAAAGCAAATATAAAATTTAACACATTTAATGTATTCTTTATAATAAGCTGCCAAAAATGTTACTATATCCTGCACAATACAGTGTTTTAATTTTAGATATAGGTCGGTGCAAAAAGATTCGTACCTCACCCAAAGAGGAAAGAATCTACGCTAAGAAAAATACCAAACGGCTGAAATAAGGTAGGCTGAAATAAATATATATATTAGAACCATTTTGAAAAAAAAATTTTCACTATGGTTCTTTTACTCTAATACCCATAGTCCCTCCATAAAACGAAGCGGCGCACCATTAACTGATAACGAAAAGTCAATAGTAATCTCCATTCACAATTATTTTTCGTGGGTTAGCTTTAAAATGGAAGACCATCAGAAGGTCACATTACGCAAGTGTGTTGCTGAGGCATTGAGAATATCGAAAAGTACAGTTGGAGTAGTGGTGGCAGACTGGAACAAGCACGGTGATAATAATTTTATGCCGCATAAAACTCTCAGTCGACCCAAATTGCAACCCGATGAAAATGTTTCGGTACTTTTGTATACAAAAATTCTAAATACTAACAAAACGGCTGAACAACTTTCCACACATACCTTACAACAATTTCTTGCTAAAAAAGGCTATGACTTTTCTAAATAGAAGCTTCTTCGAGTACTACACCAGCTGGATTTTTATTATAGTCAGGAAGAACGTAGAAATTTCCTCTATGAGTCGCCAAATAATATTGCGTTCTGTAGCCGTTATCTTCATTTTCGTTTTGCCAATTTGGAAGGCAATAATGATGTT